GTCTGGTCTATAGTCTAGTCTACCATATAGCTTAAACTGAAGTCAAGTCCATGTCCTGGACTAAAGTCTATTCTATAGTCTGCACGTTATACTAGTTTACAGTTTGAATTTAAACTATAGCTTCACTTATAACCCTTTGATTAATCTTTGTATATGTCTTGCCTCTAATAACTGTATAAATTACTTTACTATTTCCTAATGACAATTTCTCTAACTAATGATCAATATCCATATGTAAAACCTAATATCACTTAGAAATCAACATAGATATTCATTCATAAAAAAATCAACCAAACATATCATTACCTACAACATACACTAATTTATTATTCATACTCAAATGACAACAACAACAAAATGTCATTTAAGTTCATAGTCCATGGCTTCCCAAAAACATCCTCCATATTAATAAATAACGTTTGTCATTAACACTTTAATGACAAATTGTAATGTGCGCATGCGTATGCCATTAATGTTGCCATATTTTTTACAAATTAGGGAAATTTGTGAGAATTCTTTTGGAAGTATTCAAATATTTTTAAAATTTCTTATATATTGGAGAAATATTTTTTTTTAAATTTTGTCAAAAATAAAAATTATTGTTTTTTAATTATAAATCTGGCAGCTTTGTTTACTAGAAAATTATTTATTTTTTCTTTTAAGTGAAAAGTAGTATTTTGTTAAAAAGAAACTTTGTAAGAAAATAAAAACAATAATAACAACAACAAATTTAACAAATTTACATACATGCACACGATTTATTAATGATAATTTGTGAAAAGAAATGAATAAAAATTTAAGAATAAAAAACAAAACACTGAGAGAATAAATAAGTCATATTTATAATATATTTAATGCAAATATTGAAGAATAATGCTCTAGTCTATAGTGTAGTCTATAGTCTAGTCTATAGTCTAATCTATAGTTTAGTCTATAGTCTAGTCTATAGTATAATCTATAGTCTAGTCTATAGTCTAGTCTAGTCTATAGTCTAGTCTATAGTCTAGTCTATAGTCTAGTCTATAGTGTAGTCTATAGTCTAGTATATAGTCTAGTCTATAGTCTAGTCTATAGTCTAGTCTATAGTCTAGTCTTAGTCTAGTCTATAGTCTAGTCTATAGTCTAGTCTATAGTCTAGTCTATAGTCTAGTCTATAGTCTAGTCTATAGTCTAGTCTATAGTCTAGTCTAGTCTAGTCTATAGTCTAGTCTATAGTCTAGTCTAGTATAGTCTAGTCTATAGTCTAGTCTATAGTCTAGTCTATAGTCTAGTCTATAGTCTAGTCTATAGTCTAGTCTATAGTCTAGTCTATAGTCTAGTCTATAGTCTAGTCTATAGTCTAGTCCTATAGTCTAGTCTATAGTCTAGTCTATATCTAGTCTATAGTCTAGTCTATAGTCTAGTCTATAGTCTAGTCTATAGTCTAGTCTATAGTCTAGTCTATAGTCTAGTCTATAGTCCTAGTCTATAGTCTAGTCTAGTTCTAGTCTATAGTCGAGTCTATATAGTCTAGTCTATAGTCTAGTCTAGTCTAGTCTATAGTCTAGTCTATAGTCTAGTCTATAGTCTAGTCTATAGTCTAGTCTATAGTCTAGTCTATAGTCTAGTCTATAGTCTAGTCTATAGTCTAGTCTATAGTCTAGTCTTAGTCTAGTCTATAGTCTAGTCTATAGTCTAGTCTATAGTCTAGTCTATAAGTTCTAGTCTATAAGTCTCGTCTATCGTCTAGTCTAGTCTATAGTCTAGTCTATAGTCTAGTCTATAGTCTAGTCTATAGTCTAGTCTATAGTCTAGTCTATAGTCTAGTCTATAGTCCAGTCTATAGTCTAGTCTATAGTCCAGTCTAGTCTATAGCCCAGTCTAGTCTATAGCCCAGTCTAGTCTATAGTCTAGTCAAATAGTATAGTCTATAGTCTAGTCAATAGTCTAGTCTATAGTCTAGTCAAATAGTCTAGTCAAATAGTCTAGTCAATAGTCTAGTCTATAGTCTAGTCTATAGTCTAGTCTATAGTTTAGTCTATAGTCTAGTCTACAGTCTAGTCTACAGTCTAGTCTATAGTCTAGTCTATAGTCTAGTCTACAGTCTAGTCTATAGTCTAGTCTATAGTCTAGTCCATAGTCTAGTCTATAGTCTAGTCTATAGTCTAGTCTACAGTCTAGTCTATAGTCTAGTCTATAGTCTAGTCCATAGTCTAGTCTATAGTCTAGTCTAGTCTATAGTCTAGTCTATAGTCCAGTCTATAGTCTAGTCTATAGTCTAGTCTATAGTCCAGTCTATAGTCTAGTCTATAGTCCAGTCTATAGTCTAGTCTATAGTCTAGTCTATAGTCTAGTCTATAGTCTAGTCTATAGTCTATTCTATAGTCTAGTCTATAGTCTAGTCTATAGTCTAGTCTATAGTCTAGTCTATAGTCTAGTCTATAGTCTAGTCGAGTCTATAGTCTAGTCTATCGTCTAGTCTATAGTCTAGTCTATAGTCTAGTCTATAGTCTAGTCTATAGTCTAGTCTATAGTCTAGTCTATAGTCTAGTCTATAGTCTAGTCTATAGTCTAGTCTATAGTCTAGTCTATAGTCTAGTCTATAGTCTAGTCTATAGTCTAGTCTATAGTCGTCTATAGTCTAGTCTATAGTCTAGTCTATAGTCTAGTCTATAGTCTAGTCTATAGTCTAGTCTATAGTCTAGTCTATAGTCTAGTCTATAGTCTAGTCTATAGTCTAGTCTATAGTCTAGTCTATAGTCTAGTCTATAGTCTAGTCTATAGTCTAGTCTATAGTCTAGTCTATAGTCTAGTCTATAGTCTAGTCTATAGTCTAGTCTATAGTCTAGTCTATAGTCTAGTCTATAGTCTAGTCTATAGTCTAGTCTATAGTCTAGTCTATAGTCTAGTCTATAGTCTAGTCTATAGTCTAGTCTATAGTCTAGTCTATAGTCTAGTCTATAGCCTAGTCTAGTCTATAGTCTAGTCTATAGCCTAGTCTAGTCTATAATCTAGTCTATAGTCTAGTCTATAGTCTAGTCTATAGTCTAGTCTATAGTTAGTCTATAGTCTAGTCTATAGTCTAGTCTATAGTCTAGTCTATAGTCTAGTCTATAGCCTAGTCTATAGTCTAGTCTATAGTCTAGTCTATAGTCTATATAGTCTAGTCTATAGTCTAGTCTATAGTCTAGTCTATAGTCTAGTCTATAGTCTAGTCTATAGTCTAGTCTATATTCTAGTTTATAGTCTAATCTATAGTCTAGTACATAGTCTGTTATATATTCTAGTATATTATCTAGGCTATAGACTAGCACATAGTCTGGTCAATATGCTGGTCTATAGTCTGGTCTTTAGCCTGGTTTTAAGTCTATAATGTGGTCTAAAGTTTGTTCTATATTCTGATATATTGTTCGTTCTATAATCTGATCTATAGTATGAGCTCCTATAGTATGAGCTCCTAGCTCATATAGTATGAGCTCCTAGTCTATAGTCTAGTCTGGTCTATAGTCTAGCCTATAGTCTAGTTTATAGTCTAGTTTATAGTCTAGTCTATAGTCTAGTCTATAGTCTAGTCTATAGTATAGTCTATAGTCTAGTTTATAGTCTAGTCTATAGTCTAGTTTATAGTCTAGTCTATAGTCTAGTTTATAGTCTAGTCTATAGTCTAGTTTATAGTCTAGTCTATAGTCTAGTCTAGTCTATAGTCTAGTCTTCAGTCTAGTCTATAGTCTAGTCTATAGTCTAGTCTATAGTCTAGTCTATAGTATAGTCTATAGTCTAGTCTATATTCTAGTCTATAGTCTAGTTTATAGTCTAATCTATAGTCTAGTACATAGTCTGTTATATATTCTAGTCTATTATCTAGTCTATAGACTAGCACATAGTCTGGTCAATATGCTGGTCTATAGTCTGATCTTTAGCCTGGTTTTAAGTCTATAATGTGGTCTAAAGTTTGTTCTATAGTCAGATATAATGTTCGTTCTATAATATGATCTATAGTATGAGCTCCTATAGTATGAGCTCCTAGATCATATAGTATGAACTCCTAGTATATAGTCTAGTCTATAATCTAGTCTATAGTCTAGTTTATAGTCTAGTCTATAGTCTAGTTTATAGTCTAGTCTATAGTCTAGTCTATAGTCTAGTCTATAGTCTAGTCTATAGTCTAGTCTATATTCTAGTCTATAGTCTTGTTTATAGTCTAGTACATTGTCTGTTATATATTCTGTTCTATTATCTAGTCTATAGACTAGCACATAGTCTAGTCAATATGCTGATCTATAGTCTGGTCTTTAGCCTGGTTTTAAGTCTATAATGTGGTCTAAAGTTTGTTCTATAGTCTGAAATAATATTCGTTCTATAATCTGAGTATGAGCTCCTATTTCTTTTTTTCTCAGTGTATAATGTTAAACTTTTCTTTCCAAGAGAATATTTCAATAACATCGGTAGCTGACATGTTTGTCTCGCTGTCGGTTTTCTTGCAGACAACATACATACATATGTATGTGCGTGTTTATAATCATTTTAACATGTGTAAAAATTTTTATTAATAAAAACAAAATGTATTTTATGCATTTGTTTGTAGGATTGTACATCTTGTATGTTTTACTTAAAAAAAAACTGACAAAAACATTCTTCATTTTAAACACATTTTGTTAAAAAAAAAAAAAAACACAATGTTTGCATGTTAGATCACGACATTATAATGTTATGACAATTTTCATTTAGTCTTTTTTTCTTACATCTTCGTGAAATCTGTGATTTTTTTTCCTTCTCTATATATCAAACTCTTTTGTTTTTGTTGTAGTTTTTACAGTATGTTTAATTTTCTAGTAAAGTCATGCAAATGTTGTTAGAAACCGAAAACCGTTATAAGTACTAGAGTAGAGAATGGAAAATTTTCAAACTACAGCAAACAGCATAAATTTAATTGCAAAATTTTTATTCATTCATTGTTATTTATACTGACTCACCTTTGTATCTTTGTTTTTTCCTCTCTCTGTTCTTTTGTCTTTTACTAGATTTTAGCATTATTTTGTATTATTAACTTAAATGTCCACATCGCCAGTGCCTCATTATGGAACAGTTATGGCAGCAGTAGCAGCAGCAGTAGTGATAGTAAAACATTAAGTTTGGCCAGATGTAGTGGCGGTAGAGGTTTAAAATATTTATCCGGTGATGCTTTAACAGACTCACCCGATTGCTTGGGTCCTAATAATGCTCCCTATCCAAGGTAAGGCTTTTTAATCTAAATATATTGAAAACAAACTAATCAGACACTAAATTCTAGGTTATTTTTTAGTCTAAAGTATAGTGTAGTCTATGGTCTAGTCTATAGTCTAGTCTATAGTCTAGTCTAGTCTATAGTCTAGTCTAAATTCTAGTCTAGTCTAGTCTATAGTCCAGTTTATAGTCTAGTCTATAGTCTAGACTAGACTATAGACTAGTCTATAGTCTAGTCTATAGTCTTGTCTATAGTCTAGTCTATAGTCTAGTCTATAGTCTCGTCTATAGTCTAGTCTATAGTCTAGTCTATAGTCTAGTCTATAGTCTAGTCTATAGTCTAGTCTATAGTCTAGTCTATAGTCTAGTCTATAGTCTAGTCTATAGTCTAGTCTATAGCCTAGTCTATAGTCTAGGCTATAGTCTAGTCTATAGTCTAGTCCACTCTATAGTCTAGTCTAGTCTATAGTCTAGTCTATAGTCTAGTCTATAGTCTAGTCTATAAACTAGTCTATAGTCTAGTCTATAGTCTAGTCTATAGTCTAGTCTATTGTCTAGTTATAGTCTAGTCTATAGTCTAGTCTATAGTCTAGTCTATAGTCTAGTCTATAATCTAGTCTATTGTCTAGTCTATTGTCTAGTCTATAGTCTAGTCTATAGTCTAGTCTATAGTCCTAGTCTATAGTCTAGTCTATAGTCTAGTCTATAGTCTAGTCTATAGTCTAGTCTATAGTCTAGTCTAGTCTATAGTCCTAGTCTATAGTCTAGTCTATAGTCTAGTCTATAGTCTAGTCTATAGTCTAGTCTATAGTCCAGTCTTTAATCTAGTCCATAGTCTAACCTATAGTCTATTCAATAAAGTATAGTGTAGTCTATGGTCTAGTCTATAGTCGAGTCTATAGTCTAGTCTATAGTCTAGTCTATAGTCTAGTCTATAGTATAGTCTATAGTCTAGTTTATAGTCTAGTCTATAGTCTAGTCTATAGTCTAGTCTATAGTCTAGTCTATAGTCTAGTCTATAGTCTAGTCTATAGTCTAGTCTAGTCTAGTCTATAGTCTAGTCTATAGTCTAGTCTATAGTCTAGTCTATAGTCTAGTCTATAGTTTAGTCTATAGTCTAGTCTATAGTCTAGTCTATAGTCTGTCTATAGTCTAGTCTATAGTCTAGTCTATAGTCTAGTCTATAGTCTAGTCTGTAGTCTAGTCTATAGTCTAGTCTATAGTCTAGTCTATAGTCTAGTCTATAGTCTAGTCTATAGTCTAGTCTATAGTCTAGTCTATAGTCTAGTCTGTAGTCTAGTCTATAGTCTAGTCTGTAGTCTAGTCTATAGTCTAGTCTATAGTCTAGTCTATAGTCTAGTCTATAGTCTAGTCTATAGTCTAGTCTATAGTCTAGTCTATAGTCTAGTCTATAGTCTAGTCTATAGTCTAGTCTATAGTCTAGTCTATAGTCAATCTATAGTCTAGTCTATAGTCTAGTCTATAGTCTAGTTATAGTCTAGTCAATAGTCTAGTCTATAGTCTAGTCTATAGTCTAGTCTATAGTCTAGTCTATAGTCTAGTCTATAGTCTAGTCTATAGTCTAGTCTATAGTCTAGTCTATAGTCTAGTCTATAGTCTAGTCTATAGTCTAGTCTAGTCTAGTCTATAGTCTAGTCTAGTCTAGTCTATAGTCTAGTCTATAGTCTAGTCTATAGTCTAGTCTATAGTCTAGTCTATAGTCTAGTCTATAGTCTAGTCTATAGTCTAGTCTATAGTCTAGTCTATAGTCTAGTCTATAGTCTAGTCTATAGTCTAGTCTATAGTCTAGTCTATAGTCTAGTCTATAGTCTAGTCTATAGTCTAGTCTATAGTCTAGTCTATAGTCTAGTCTATAGTCTAGTCTATAGTCTAGTCTATAGTCTAGTCTATAGTCTAGTCTATAGTCTAGTCTATAGTCTAGTCTATAGTCTAGTCTATAGTCTAGTCTATAGTCTAGTCTATAGTCTAATCTATAGTCTAGTCTATAGTCTAGTCTATAGTCTAGTCTATAGTCTAGTCTAAAGTATAGTCTAAAGTATAGTCTAAAGTCTAGTCTATAGTCTAGTCTAAAGTCCAGTCTAAGGTCTCGTCCATAGTCTATTCTAAAGTCTAGCCTACAGTCTAGTTTATAGTCTGTAGTCTAGTCTATAGTCTAGTCTATAGTCTAGTCTATAGTCTAGTCTATAGTCTAGTCTATAGTCTAGTCTATAGTCTAGTCTATAGTCTAGTCTATAGTCTAGTCTATAGTCTAGTCTATAGTCTAGTCTATAGTCTAGTCTATAGTCTAGTCTATAGTCTAGTCTATAGTCTAGTCTATAGTCTAGTCTATAGTCTAGTCTATAGTCTAGTCTATAGTCTAGTCTATAGTCTAGTCTATAGTCTAGTCTATAGTCTAGTCTATAGTCTAGTCTATAGTCTAGTCTATAGTCTAGTCTATAGTCTAGTCTATAGTCTAGTCTATAGTCTAGTCTATAGTCTAGTCTATAGTCTAGTCTATAGTCTAGTCTATAGTCTAGTCTATAGTCTAGTCTATAGTCTAGTCTATAGTCTAGTCCTATAGTCTAGTCTATAGTCTAGTCTATAGTCTAGTCTATCTAGTCTAGTCTAGTCTATTGTCTAGTCTATTGTCTAGTCTGAAGTGTAGCCTATAGTCTAGTCTATAGTCTAGGCTTTAGTCTACCCTAATGTTTAGTCTATAGTCTAGTCTATGGTTTTATCCATAGTCCAGTCTAAAGTCCATTCCAGTCTAGTCTATAGTCTAGGCAATAATCTAGTCTATAGTATAATCTATAGTCTAGGCTATAATCTAGTCTATAGTCTAGTCTATAATATAGACTATAGTCCATTTTATAGTCTAAAGTCCTAGTCTATATTCTGGCCTATAGTTTAGTCAAGCAGTCTGGTCTGTAGAGTAGTCTTAATAGATAATTTTTTTTATAACCTACATATCGGTGACGTCAATTAAAAATTGCCTTTATTATCTTTTCATTAATAAACAATTTATGTTACAATGTTATATTAATTAAGCATTTCATCTAATTGTCATTTGTTATTAATAAATTTCCTCTATTTCTTGTTTTTTTTATTTAATTTTTCAAGTGCGGCCGTGGCGCGAACATTTACCAATTGGAACGGAAGTTCACGACGTGGCCGTCAAAGTAAATTGCCATCAACATTAGATCCCGCCATTACAACTAGCGCTCTATTGAGGGCTTACAATGAAGTTAATAATGAAGATATTGATAATCATCGTTTTGGTAAGTGTGCTAATGTTGTTTGTTGTTTTTATTTTTTGTCTTGTTTATATAGATTTATTGATAAATAATTATGTAGATGGAAATATGCATAAGCACATGTTTAAAATGTGCAGTGCGGATGACAGTTGTTTGAAAGAGTTAGTTGTTCGACTTTTTATTTTTGCAAACACTTTTAGAAAAGGAAGGAAACTTAGGTCCATACTATTCTACCTCTCTCTGTTGCACTATTCTATAAAAAACACTTACGGCGAAGCACTTTTATGTATAATACTGTCATATCCTGACACTTTTTATAAAATATTGCACTTTTCGGCGACACGGCGACATGGCGAATAAAATTTCTATTAAAAATTGTGAAGGCGAAGCAGTTTTCTATAGAATAGTGCCACGGCGAAACAATTTTCTATAAAATATTGCCAAGGCGAAGCTCTTTTCTATAGAATAGTGCCACGGCGAAACATTTTTCTATCAAATATTTCTGGGCGAAACACTTTGCTAAAGAATACTGTCACAGCGAAGGCGAAACACTTTTTTAAAGAATAGTGCCACGGCGAAGAACATTTCTATAAAATATTGTCAGGGCGAAACACTTTACTGTAGAATAGTGTCACGGCGAGGCATTTTTCTATAAAACATTGCTAAGACGAAGCAACTATCTATAGAATTTTGCCACGGCGAAAATTTCTATTAAAAATTGTGAAGGGGAAGCAATTTTCTATAAATTATTGCCACGGCGGGACATTTTTCTATCAAATATTTCTAGGCGAAACACTTTGCTAAAGAATACTGCCACAGCGAAACACTTTTCTACAAAATATTGACAAGACGAACCCTTTTCTATAAAATAGTGCCAGTGCGAAACAAAACATTGCAAAGGCGAACCCTTTTCTATAGGATAGTGCTACGGCGAAACACATTTTTATAAAACGTTGTCAAGGCGAAGCACTTTTCTATAGAATAGTACCACGGCGAAACACTTTTCCACAAAATATTGCCAAGGCGAGCCCTTTTCTATAAAATAGTGCCACGGCGAAGCACATTTCTATAAAATGTTGTCAAGGCGAAGCACTTTTCTAAAGAATAGTGCCACGGCGAAAAACATTTATATAAAATATTGCCAAGGCGAAGAACTTTTCTATTGAATAGTGTCACGGCGAAACTTATTTCTGTAAAATATTATCATGGCGAAACACTTTTTATAGATTAGTCCCGCGGCAAGACATTTTTCTATAAAACATTGTCAAGGCGAAGCACTTTTCTACAGAATAGTGCCACAGCGAAGAACATTTCTATAAAATATTGTCAAGGCGAAACACTTTACTGTAGAATAATGTCACGGCGAGACATTTTTCAGTATAATAGTGTCACGCAAGACATTTTTCTGTAGAATAGATCCAAGGCGAGAAAATTTTCTATAGAATAGTCATACGGCGAGACACATTTCTCCAAAATAGACCTAAGGCGAAACAAGTTCCAATAATATAGAGTCACGACAAGACAGTTTTAAATGGTATTTTATCAAGACAATACATTTTGCTATAAAATAATACCGAATCAACTTATTTAGATTCATGACTGTTCATTCGATTGTAGTTTTTTTGTTAAATGTGACAATTTTCTATGTACTTCCTATTTTCATCACATATTTAACTAATTGTTAATTTGAAAGAAAGCAACAAGAAATAGCCATTGATTACATTATTCTTTAACGTATAGAATAAAACGTATACATTACATTCTAACAACGTTTTTGAAATAATATTAGAACGTAAATAAAGATAATAAATACTTAAGTAAAGAGTAAATAGCCGGCAAAACATAATAACCTACTTTATAAAAGTTAAAACGTACAACAACTAAATACCAATTATAACATTTTATATTGTTTACTTTATTTGCTATATTGTAACAAACTAATAAAAATTAATTTCTTTCTTTTTTTTTTTGTTATTAACAACATTTATAGGCCGCTCATTGAAGCAAACACCACAAGTCGACCAGTGCAGAAGTACCCCAGCACGTTTGTGTAAGACACGCTACAATACCACCGCACCCATGTATGGTGTCAGTTTGACATCAGGCCAACCCGTTACCATTGTACAAAAATTCCCCGATCTCTTGCAACAAGTTGTCTTTGAAGTGTGCGAGTATGTATACAATGTTTTCTTAAGAAATTAAGATTAGATTTTTAATAAAAAAAATATCTTTTAGATCTTCTGAATGTGATGTGGTTAGAGGTGAATGTACTCAAACTTATGTGCCTTATTTATTTTTGGTTATACCTCTGGGCCCTGTTACCTTAACGGGCCAGGATTATGTTTTGGTTGAAAGTGGTTGTGTTTGTAAACCTAAATATTCGACAGGAGCGACTCAAGAACCTAATATGATACCATAGTTTAATTAAATTTTTCATGTATGTATATGTAGTATAAGGCGGGCAAAAAAACAACATCAACAACAAAATTGTTTTGAAAACAATTACAAATTATATTATTATTATTAAAAAACATAAAATTTGAAAAAAAAATCTTTATAATTTAAATGTAATTTTAAACGAAAACATAAACTACCAAAAGTACTGATCTTTTATGATAAATGTAAACAAAAGACATGTTAATGAAACAAAATAAATTCATAATTTCGGGGTTTTTAAAACACAACGGACATAATCACAGGCAGTTGTTATGAATTACAAATGTGGCAACTTTAAAGGAATTATTCTAAATTACAATATAGTCTGGTAGCCTTAAAGACAGCTGTTAAGTGGCATCTTTAACTAGTGTTGCCAAAATATTACGGTTTTTTCTATTGCAGTGCTTTTTAGCACTTTTCATTATGACGTTTGGCAGTAGTTATTTAAGAAGCCATAGTAAAGCAGATTTATATGAAATATTGCCAAGGTGCAGCACTTTTCTATAGAATAGAATTGCGGCGATATAAATTTCTATAAAATATTGCAAAGGCGAGAATAGTGCGACGACGAAACACTTTTATATAAAATATTGCTAAGGCGAAACACTTAGCTATAGATTACTGCCACGGCGAAATACTTTTTTATAACATATAGCTAAGGCGAAGTAATTTTCTATAGAATAGTGCCGCGGCGAAACACTTTTCTATAAAATATTACTAAGACGAAGTACTTTTCTATAGAATAGTGACAAGACAAAACAAATTTCCTACATTATAAATTCCTATAGAATAAAGTTACGGCGAGTCAGTCTTCTTTCTTAGCGACAAAAACATACAAAACATACACTGTTCTATAAAATATTGTCACGGCGAAACCTTTTTTTATAAAATACTGCTGAAACGATTCAATATTTGTAAAAAAATAATGTCAAGACATAGTAACACTTTTATCTATATTAGTTCTTCGTTAAAACATTTTCTTCCCAACTGTCCGGGAGTATGTCCTCTTATATGGTTTTAATTTAAAACAGGTTCAAAACTTTTGTAACTAATAAAATTTTCAACTTCCGAAAATTAGTAAAATTTTTAAAAATTTAAAAAAAATGTAAATTTAATTACATTTTAATAAAAAAAAACATAATTTAATTATAAGTTTGTTTTAAAAAATAAAAATTTCGAAAAAAATCTTTTAAAAGATTTTAAAAATTTATAATTTAATATATTTTCTTTATAAAATTTGTTTTCCTTTTATGTTAATTTTAAGTTTTAATAACTATTTATTGTTCTTTGCTATTTAAATTCTTTTTGTAAAAATTCCAATTACGACATTTTTCTAAACGAGTTTATGGAAAATTTTGTAAGTGAAAAATGTCGTTTTTGGAATAATATTTATTTTTTTTTTATTAATAAATTTATTTTAATTTAAATTTAAGTAAATAGTTTTTTAAGTATATTTTAAATTAAGTTTTAAAAAATATTTTTCGATTTATATGATAAATGTGTTGCATTTATTAAATACAGAAAATAATGTTTTTGAATTAAATTATTTAAATAATAAAAAAGACAAAAATTAATAAAAAGTTGAAAAATATTGTGGATGAAGTTTTACGGGTGAGTGTATAAAGGAGGAAAATGTTTAGATTAAACCATACCCAGTTGTTCCTTCAAATTATTGTTAATAATCTTAGATATCTTACCATTTTGTTAATATACATTTATAATATATTAGTAACTATTACTTACTTGTGTCCATGTTCCAAATCCTTCTTGGGACTCAGCAAATTTGATTTATTAAAATTTTCAGAAGTAAATAGGGATTTTCTGTAATATCTGGATTGTATAGTATCTTATGCACATACAATTTTGTGCAAATTATGTTGGTAATGTAAGTTACAAATAACTTTAAAGATTGTTGTAAATTTTTCACAAAATTAAGTTTTTTTTTTTTTGTAAAAACAAAGTTGTAGTCTTTTGCTTATAACTCAGCAATATCTGTAGCGATTTTAATAATTAAATAAGTATACAAAGAAGAAAATGTCACTTTTGTAAAAACCATAAGTTTTATGAACAAAATTTGAAAGTTTTTGTTTAAAATTTGTAAAAACTACAATTGTTTACACACTTTAATGTAAAACTTAAAGATTTTACCACTTTGATATTTTCCCACCACTTTGTCATTGTACAGAGTTGTATTTATCAGCTAATTACAACCCTGTTTTATAAAACACTACTACCTCACCACAGATGTCATCTCTGTATATTCACTTTGCGTGAGAGTGCGAATCAGAAACCCGCGTCAAAATGTCAAAACCGCCGCCGCCGAAAATGTTTCAGCTTAATATGGCTTAAAAATTTAGCCATATTTTGTATAATTTACAGAACACTTTCTCTAAATTTATGGAATTTTACAATATAAAATTAATTTGTTTTCATTTATGCTAGTTTTCTTTTATCTAATAATAAGCCGCTCATTGCAATTTGAACGGTGTGTAAAACGTTCAAATCATATTGCTTCGCCTCAGACATTTTCGTGTTTTCGCGCCTAATTCTATTCGCTGCTTTTACTTCAAACCAGCTTAGTTGACGTCAAACAAGCTCCACCTAAAACTCACTCCAAAATATTATTTCCAAAATATATTTCTTGAATGTTATTATATTTATAACATTTATGGTTATATAACATCAAAAATTCAAGACCAAGGTTAGTTCCATCTGGAAGTTGTAAGCACTCAAAGTTGAAAATTTTGAAATAAATAAAATATGAAAAATATTTCAAATAAAATAATAAAAAGGAACTTTTTAAAAGTTTTTTTCTATTTTATTTATGTTTCACTTAAAGGTATGATAATTAATTTTGATATCATGTGAAAGGTCTTTGGGAGGCACTTTCAATGGCGTATTACAATTTAAAGTAAAAAAATTAAAGTGTTGTTTAGATTATTCAAAATTTTATTATATAGATTACACTACGCGGCAAAAATAAATACCTGGGAAAATATCATCATAAAATTTGGTGAAGGGATTTGTTTTTAATTTTTAAGAATTAATCAAATTTAATTTTTTATTTAATTTTTTTCCATCCCTGCATAATTTCTCACACAACTTTTGTGCTCGCTCTATTTTATTGTTATAAATTATACACAAAATCCCACTTAAAAAGTCTCTTGGATCACGTTTTATTTTAAAATCTTTGAAAATTTTAAAATTAAGCGTATTTGAGAACTTAGCCGGCTTACAGTCGATTTTAAGCCGCCGCCGATATTTTTAGTGTCAGCCGCCGCCGCCGTTAATATTTGTCGGCGCACGGCTCTGGTGCGAATGCAAGAAGAAAACGAATATTGTTTTTTTAACGAATTATTCGTTAAGTTTTCTTTTCGGTGCGTCTCCATTTTGCATAGAGCCGTATAAAAAATTGTGTAAATTTTTACAAAAATTACAATATTCTTATTGAAAATATTGTAAAAAACGGCTAAATTAAAGAAAACAATGTATTTGCTAACCTAATTACATTAAATGTGTCACTTTTAGTGTGTTTTTCTAAGCAAAATTACCAAGCGAAAAATTAAAAAAAATAAGATTCCATAATTTTTTTTGCTGAATTTTTTTTCGTATTACATTTTAATGCTGCTTTCGTAGCTGTCGTCGTTGTCAAGATAAGGCAGTTGTTAATTTTTTTTTTTAATTTTTGCTGCTATTGCTGTTCTTGTTTTTTATTATTTTCGCACCACGCCGTTTTGGAGTTGTACCCGGTTTTTTCTTCTGCTTTCTCAGCTTTTGTGGTCTTGTGTATAAAAAAAAAGTATAAATATTTTCTTAACCAATAAAAAGTGTGGGAAATTCAATACAAGTGTTTTTGTTATTATTTAAAATAAAATAATAAAAAAGTTAGGCTAAAAAAGAACCGCAAATAATTATAATTGATGGCCTGAAAAATGGCATAATTAAAAGTTATCCAAGGAAATTTGTGTAGCCTAAAAACACATTTTTATTTCCTCGGCCACGAAAAAGAAAAAGTTTTCCAATATTTGTTTTATAATTTGTTTCTACATTCTTATTTTACCAACAATTCATCCGTCGTTGTTCATAAATTAAGGGTGACAAAATGATGTTCACGGTAAGTTGAAATTAATATTTTATGTTTGTCATAATGTTCTCTACTGTGTTTTTATTATTATTCTTTTTTGGTTGTTTTCGTATTGGAAAGAAATTATATTTTAATATTTTTGTTAAATGGTTTTATAATTGCGTTTAAAAAGTGTTTAATAAGAGGCATGTGTTAGAGTTAGTAGCAGCACTAAAAAGGTCCTACAGTTTAAATAATTTTTTAGAAAATTTTGAAAACTTTATTAAATCTAAATTGGGGTCAAGCTTTACATTTGAAATTTTGGCCAATTTTTTGTTCAAATTATTATTCAGTTCTAGTTCAGTTGCAGTTCAGATCTCGTTCAGTTTTAGTTCAGTTCTAGTTCAATTCTAGTTCAGTTCTAGTTCAGTTCTAGTTCAGTTTTAGTTCAGTTCTAGTTCAGTTCTAGTTATTTCTAGTTCAGTTCTAGTTCAGTTTTAGTTCAGTTTTAGTTCAGTTGTAGTTCTAGTTCAGTTCTAGTTCAGTTCTAGTTCAGTTCTAGTTCAGTTTTAGTTCAGTTCTAGTTCAGTTCTAGTTCAGTTCTAGTTCAGTTCTAGTTCAGTTCTAGTTCAGTTCCAGTTCAGTTCTAGTTCAGTTCTAGTTCAGTTCTAGTTCAGTTCTAGTTCAGTTCTAGTTCAGTTCTAGTTCAGTTCTAGTTCAGTTCTAGTTCAGTTCAGTTCTAGTTCAGTTCTAGTTCAGTTGTAGTTCAGTTGTAGTTCAGTTGTAGTTCAGTTCTAGTTCAGTTCTAGTTCTGTTCAGTTCTAGTTCAGTTCTAGTTCAGTTCTAGTTCAGTTCTAGTTCAGTTTCTAGTTCAGTTCTAGTTCAGTTCTAGTTCTGGTCTAGTTCAGTTCTAGTTTTAGTTCTAGTTTTAGTTCGGTTCTGGTTCAGTTCTAGCGCAGTTCTAGTTCAGTTCTAGTTCTGGTCTAGTTTAGTTTAGTTTTAGTTCAGGTTCTGGTTCAGTTCTAGCGCAGTTCTAGTTCAGTTCTAGTTCAGTTCTAGTTCAGTTCTAGTTCAGTTCTAGTTCAGTTCTAGTTCAGTTCTAGTTCGTTCTAGTTCAGTTCTAGTTCAGTTCTAGTTCAGTTCTAGTTCAGTTCTAGTTCAGTTCTACTTCAGTTCTAGTTCAGTTCTAGTTCAGTTCTAGTTCAGTTCTAGTCAGTTCAGTTCTAGTTCAGTTCTAGTTCAGTTCTAGTTCAGTTCTAGTTCAGTTCTAGTTCAGTTCTAGTTCAGTTCTAGTTCAGTTCTAGTTCAGTTCTAGTTCAGTTCTAGTTCAGTTCTAGTTCAGTTCTAGTTCAGTTCTAGTTCAGTTCTAGTTCAGTTCTAGTTCAGTTCTAGTTCAGTTCTAGTTCAGTTCTAGTTCAGTTCTAGTTCAGTTCTAGTTCAGTTCTAGTTCAGTTCTAGTTCAGTTCTAGTTCAGTTCTAGTTCAGTTCTAGTTCAGTTCTAGTTCAGTTCTAGTTCAGTTCTAGTTCAGTTCTAGTTCAGTTCTAGTTCAGTTCTAGTTCAGTTCTAGTTCAGTTCTAGTTCAGTTCTAGTTCAGTTCTAGTTCAGTTCTAGTTCAGTTCTAGTTCAGTTCTAGTTCAGTTCTAGCTTCAGTTCTAGTTCAGTTCTAGTTCAGTTCTAGTTCAGTTCTAGTTCAGTTCTAGTTCAGTTCTAGTTTAGTTCTAGTTCAGTTCTAGTTCAGTTCTAGTTCAGTTCTAGTTCAGTTCTAGTTCAGTTCTAGTTCAGTTCTAGTTCAGTTCTAGTTCAGTTCTAGTTCAGTTCTAGTTCAGTTCTAGTTTAGTTCTAGTTCAGTTCTAGTTCAGTTCTAGTTCAGTTATAGTTCTATTCTAGTTCAGTTCTAGACGAGTTCTAGTTCAGTTCCATTTTAGGTCCAGTTTAGTTCTAGTTCTATTTCAGGTCTTATTGGATTATTAGATTTTTTAATATTTACATAACAGAACAAAAAATTTTAATTCGTAAACTCCTCTATATCCACTCTATAGGGCACCACTCAACAACAAGACACTCGCTTTAGCGACAAAGAAAAGAAACTTATGAAACAAATGAAATTTGGTGATTGTCTCAACAAACGAGTCGACATGTCCAAAGTCAAGCTGGATGTATTAAGGCCATGGATCAGTAAGAAAATTACCGATATGTTACACATGGAAGATGATGTAGTCGCTGAGTTTGTTTACAATCAACTGGAAGAAGAAAAATTTCCTTGCCCCAAGAAAATGCAAATAAATATGACTGGATTTTTAAACGGTCCCAATGCCCGACAATTTATGGGTGAATTATGGGCTCTTCTACTATCGGCGCAAGATAGTGATACTGGCATACCAGCCGAGTTTATACAACAGAAAAAAGATGAAATTCTCAAAAGAGACGAAGAGAATAAGCATCGAGAACGAAATGATAGATCAAGATCTAGATCCCGTTCTCGTTCAAGAGATAGAGGTGATAGACGTGGTACAGGAGGAGGACGAGGAGGAAGTTCTGGTGCTGGTGGTACTACTAAAGATCGTGATTTAACACAAAAAGAACGTGAACAACAATTACCGCCCAGCACTCTTAGCGCCATTGAACAGGTACGTTCTCATCTCTCGGCTAAAAATCGTTCGAATTCCGATGAACAACGTAATTCGCATAAGGATGATGATAAAACTACAAACAATGTAGAGAATCAGTCAACAAAACGTGACAAATCTCGATCTAAGTCAAGAGATAATCATGTGGATAAAAATAGATCACCACGTAAACGTTCTAGGGATAGATCGGTGCAGAAAGAACGCTCTTCACGTGATCGTAGCTCACCTCAGCGCCGGCGTAATGGTTCTAGAGAAAAAGATCGCAGACGTAGCTCAAGATCACCGCGACGCCGTTCACCCGATCGCCGCAGACGAAGATCACGTTCTAGAGATCGTAGTGTACGACGACAAAAATCACGTTCTAAGACACCTCAAAAACGTCGAGATAATTCTCGCTCACGTAATCGCAAGTCACGCTCACGTTCGGTAGAAAAACGCAAAGTGAGTCCGCCACCCCCTAAACCAGCTTCACCTAAACGCAATCGTTCCGAGTCAAGAAATTCGAATCCGGCACAAAATGGTCATGAGAAAAAAGGCTCCGCTTCTAAGAATCCCCGCAATCCATTTGCGGCCAAAAATAAACGTTCATCTTCCCGCAGTCGCAGTAGGGCCACATCACCGGGTGTTCGTAAACCCAAACCGCGTTCACCGCCTCGTTCTTCTCGTTCACGCTCTCGTTCCCATTCATCAGCACGCTCAAGTCCCAAACGTAATAATAAACGTTCGCCTTCACGCTCTGCTAGTCTGTCTCTTTCACCCGAACCACCCCAAGAGGATTTCGAATTGAAGCGTAATAAGAATAGTATACAAAATAAACGTCAATATCGCAATAATAGAGACTCTTCGGCCAGTTCTTTAGATAGAGATGGTGGACGAGGAGGAGGTGGTGGTGGCGGCGCTGGTGGCAGGAGAGGTGATTCACGCAGCCGTGGCAGAGGTTTTATGCATAATCGTAATAGAAGAACACCATTGCGGTTTGATGATAGAGGTCCTGGAGGCGGCGGAGGTGGACGTCAGCAACGTTCAAGATCGAGGAGAAGATCTCGTTCGCGCCAGCGTTCATTTTCACGCAATCGCTCTAGATCGCCTAGAAGGTATTTTTTTTTTCTTCTTTCGTGAAAAAGTTCTAAAAAGCTTTTTATTTTGGTAATTTTGAATAAAAAGCTTTTTCATAGAATGTTTTTTTTTTTTTTTTTAAAAAGCTTTTTCATAGTAAGCTTTTGTTGTAAAAAGGTTTTTTAAACGTTAATAAAAGATCAGAAAAACATTCTTGGAAAGCTTCTTTTGTAAAAAAAGTCATTAGATAAAAGTATTTTTTGCCAAAAGCTTTTTTAAACGTTAATAAAAGATCAGAAAAACTTTCTTGGAAAGCTTTTTTTGTAAAAAAAACATTTAGATAAAAGCTTTTTTTGCCAAAAGTTTATTTGTAAAAAACTTTTTTTAAACGTTAATAAAAGATCAGAAAAACTTTCTTGGAAAGCTTTTTTTGTAAAAAAAAAAAACATTTAGATAAAAGCTTCTTTTACCAAAAGTTTATTTTAGCAAAATGCCTAAAAGCTTTCTCACAAAAAATAATCCTTTTAAAAAGCTTTTTTGATAATATTTATTATTTTTTATTGTATAATTGAAAAAATGCCTTTAATTTCATCTCTAGATTCAACCGGCGTCGTTCACCGTTCCGCGGCAATAATCGCAACAATCGTGGACGCATGAATCACTGGAATCGTAGAAGCCAAAGTCGTGAACGTGGTGGCGGCGGTGGCGGCAGAGGCATGATGGGTGGCGCTGGCAATCGTTTCGATAATCGTCGCAATCAATCACCGCCACGACGTTTTTCACGCGAAAGACGTTTCTCACCTGTGCAAAATCAATTTCGCAAATATTCACCCCAATGGCGTGGTTCACCACCCAGACGATCACGCGAACGCAGGCCTAATTCACGAGAACGACGACCGTCATCGCCCTTGCGAGGATCTTCACCGGAACGTGGCGGTGGTGGAAGTGGACGTGGTGGTGCTGCTGGTGGTGGAGCCTTCAATCGTTGGGATCAATCACAAAGAAATGCTGCTGTTGCACCCCCAGTCAATAAACCAAAGCAACGTTCGCCTTCGCCGGGTTCGAATTGGGAAGATGAATCGGATAATGAGAATGTAAAGAAGAACATGAGTAGTAATCGTCGTAGTAGTGAGACTAGAAAATCCTCACCACCACCACCACCAGCGTCCAAAGAGAAGGCACGTAAAAATCGCAGTCTCAGCAGGTCACAAGAACGTTTCAAGAGGGTGCCTAATCGTTCTAGGGAAAGTGGTGGTAAGTTAAATTTTCAGAAAGAAATTTTGAATTTGTTTTAAAATTAATGTTTTTGTTAATTTTTTCCTTTCTTACTAACAGGACGCTCTTCGGTGGAGTACTGTGCCCCAGCGGTAAAAACTATAGACTTATCACGAGATGAAGCAGAGGAAGCCGCACGTAAACATTCTAAAGCAGAAACCATAGCCCCCCTAGAAACTAAAACCAAGAAGTTAACAGCTGTACAAACAACTGCAACCGGCGGGCGACGAGATCATTATAGTGTTAGTTTATCTAGGACACCCTCTCCATTCCTTAAACCCCATGAGCGCAAGCAAGCTGCTGCTGCGACTACTCTAGACTCCCAAGCCTCCTCTAGCAAGGATAAAAAGTCATTGACTAAAAAACGACCAGACAGTGATACAAGTTCCTCAGATAGTTCAGATGATAGTGACGATAGCGAAGATGAGGATGACAGCACAGATGAAGAAGAACGTGAAAGAGTAAGACGTGAAAAAGAAAAAGCCAAAGCTAAAGAAGAATTAAAGAAAACTCAAACTGCATTGGCCAATAAAAAGTCTGAAAAGTTGGAAAATGAAAAGAAAATGGAAAAGTCAAACAAAACGCAACGCAAACCACAACAGACTTCATCTAGTGAAAGTGACTCAGAAGACTCCGAGGAGGAGAAACAAAGAAGGAAAAAGTCTTCTACGAAAACAACAGCTCCTTCGAAGGTAAATCATAAGGAAAGTAAGACGCATCATGGCAATGAGGAGGAGCAACGCAAACGAGACAAATTGACGTTAGAGGTGGCTGAGAAACGTAAACATACGGAAGCAAGAGAAACCAATAGCTCAACCTCGGCTAAACGTTCTAAAACTAGTGCTGAAAAACAAGTAATTACTACTACTACAAACACCTCCTCATCCTCGTCGGCTAAAAAATCCAGCAGCTCCTCAAAAACAGAACATAAGAAACCCAAATCCGATACGGAATCAGATGTGCCCGCTGCCAACAATAAGTCAATGGAAATGGAGTCCAAATCCTCCAAATTACAGGCCCGCAAAAGAACACATTCAGCCACAAATAATGAGCGTAAAAAGTCTAAAAATGATTCCTCAGACACGGATGAACATACCGCCAAAAAGAAACGTAAAAAATCTAAGAAATCCTCTTCAAAACGTAATTCAGATGATGACTCCTCCTCCGATACGGAGGCCGAGTCCAATAAAAAGAAAAAACACAAGAAACACAAAAAACACAGTAGCAAAAAGAGTAAAAAACATAAGAAACACAAGAAAAAGAATAAAAAGGCTGACAGCTCATCGAGCAGTGATGATGACAACGTTATGGAAACACATCGCAAAGAGGAAAAGTCTTCTAAGGCAGGAGGCTCAAATTCAGCATCCATGTTGTTGGGCGGTGTTAATGAGGATTTAGAAAAACAATTAAGAGAAAGAGCTCTTAAGTCAATGAAGAAAATGGATTAGAACTCTAGGAAATACATGTAGTTTCTGGGGGATTTATAGTCCAGACATTTTCTTTCCATCCTTTTTTACACATTTAAAAACAAAACAAACAAACCAACCAACCAGCAACCAATCAATCACATAAAACTTGTCTTACAACTTTTAGCTTTTAAACTCCTGTTTTTTCTCCTGCTAATCCCTTATCCACCCCTTATTATTACATTTATTGTAAAACTTTTTACCACAAAATAGTGTTTATTCAATTGGCTTTTTATATATATTTAAGCTAATGTTGAAAACTATTTTATTATTAGCTTTCTCTTTTCTTTTTTTTTTTTTTTTAACCGACATGTGTATTCTTGTTGCATCCTTTCAAGAATACTCAACACCCCGTATTTTTCATTCTCTATTTCTCAAAGTATAACTTTTTTTACAAAAGAAACAAAAAAACATAAACAAGCAAGAAATATAAACAAAAACCTATTAAGATTTTTTGTCCATTCTTATATTTTTTCTTTTAGTTTTTAATTTTTAAGTAGTTTCATAACTTAATTAAAACAAAAACAAACAAACAAACAAACAACATCTTTATATTAAACAAAAAAAAATATTATTAAAAAAACAAAACAAAACAAAATATAAATTAATACATATAGAATTCAAAATATGTATTTATCTACCCCAAGTTTGAGCATATAAATTTTAAGAAGAGTTTAATTAAAATTTAACAGAAAAAAATTAATAATAATAATAAAAAATATGTGAGAGTAAAAACAAAATATTTGAAAAAAACAATTCTAAAGAAGAATTAATAAAAATTACAAAAAAACGAGTGTGCTGTTCTTAGTTATTGGACGAACAAGTAAGGTATGTGAGTTTAAAAAGTTTTTGTTAAAAAAATCTTTTTGAAATGTTTATTTTTAGAGATAAAACTAAAAAGTCCGAGCGTTTTATTGCTTTTATTAAGCAAACAGAGATAGAGATAAAGCGGAACGAAATGTTACAGTCTCGTGGTCATTCCGATACATTAGTAGTGAAGACTATTCAGGCTATACTAGGGTTCTATAAATCGACTTTCGAATAATCGAACAATCGACTTTTTGTCGAAAAAAGTCGAAAAGTCGAAGTCGACTATTTTGTTCCAAAAAAGTCGATAACTCGACTATCGTCTATGAAAAAAGTCGAAAAGTCGACTTTGTAAATAAAAGTCGAAAAGTCGGAAAGTCGAAAAAAGTCGAAAAGTCGAAAAAAGTCGAAGAAAGTCGAAAAGTCGGAAAAAGTCGAAAAGTCGGAAAAAGTCGAAAAGTCGAAAATAGTCGAAAATTTTAAAAAAGTGGAAAAGAGGTCAAAAACTCTAAAATAGTCGGAAAAACTCGAAAAAAGTAAAAATAGTCGAAAAAAAGTCGAAAAAAAGTCGAAATAAGTCGAAAATAGTCAAAAAGTCGTAAAAAATCGAAAAGTCGGAAAAAGTGGAAAAGTTGAAAAAAGTCGAAAAAAGTCGAAAAGTCGAAAAAAGTCGGAAAAAGTCGAAAAGTCGCAAAAAGTCGACCATTTATAAAATACTAAAAGTCGAAAAGTCTAAAAGTCGACTTTTAAATAAATGAAAAAGGTCGAAAAGTCGAAAAATCGACTTTTCATAAAATGGAAAAAGTCGAAAGGTCGAAAAGTCGACTTTTAACTAAATGCAAAAAGTCGAAAAGTCGACTTTTCGTTTCAACTATAGAACCCTAGGCTATACTACTCCCCCAGCTGTCCTGCCACGAAACAACAGCTTGCCACCAGCATGGTTTCCGTAAAATGCACAAAAACGCCACAAGCAAGAAAGGCCATAAACACTCAGATCTCAAACAACTTAATCATGCTTTGTTGTCATCTTTTGTTTATCGCCTAGAGGGAGAGAGAGATAAAACGAAACGGTGTGTTGTTCGCAAACTTCACTAACCTACACCAGTAGCGAAGACACTTTAGGCACGTTTCCACGACAATCGGTTCTTCGCACCGGAACAACTCGGAGTTCAACGAACAACGACCAAAGATTGTCAACCCAGCCACATCGGCTGCTACAACAACAACAACAACAACTCTTTAGGCACTCATCCTCACCCAGCTGTCCTGCCACTTAACTAGCAATCAGATCTCATACAGCTTAAACTTGTTTTCATACGTCTTTTATTGGTCACCCAAAGAGAGATAGAGGGAGACAAAGAGTAACGAAATTTTGTTCGCAAACTTCACAACCTTTCTGTCTCAAATATTACACAACCCTAAATACAGCCAAGCAAACCAAAAAGATTGATCTCAAGTTGAGACTATAACAGGCATATCCATTTTGAATCAATTTTACGAGCGAGAAGTTGAGTACTTTACAATGATTTTCAACCTCAATGTCTGAAAAAGGTAGAATCATTCCGAAGAACGCGGCAAAGGAACAATCCTATGTCCCTCCTGCCACAAGTAGCGAAGACTCTTGAGGCTATTCTACTCCATTAGCTGTCCTGTCAGATCTCACGCAGCTTATACTTGCTTTATTCCCATTCTTCACTTCCTTTCACTCTCAAATATTACACTAAATACAGCCGGGCACCAGCATGGTTTCCGTGAAACTCCCATAATCATTCAGATCTCAAACAGCTTAAACTTGCTTTGTTCTCATCTTTTATTGATCACCTAGAGAGAGAACGAGAGAGTAATCGAAATGTTGTTCGCTAACTTCACAACCTTCCAGTCTCGAACATTACAGCCAGATCATATGATTATGGCGATTACTCCCGAAGGCATATCCATGCAGATGTCGAAATAGTTTGGCGAGCGGAAAACTCTGGTACTTAGCAATGGTTTTCAACCGGTCCGGAAAAAGAGAAGTACTGCTAATAATGGTAAAGTTATATGATTTTGGCTTCAATTTAAAAAAGGGGTAATTGTAAAACGTATGAAGCCCATTTGATAAATTTTATAAAAATCTAGCAGTTCTTGCTTATACGACCATTTTGCAATAATCTGGCCACTCTATTAAATTGGACGTTTAATTCAAAGATATTGTCAAACAAAAGGCCATTAATTATGCTAAATTTAGGCGTTTCCTGGGAGCAGGATATCCTCGGCCATGCATCCATACATTTAAAAGAATATTTATTCGGAACTCTATAGTACCAGAGATTAGATCTCCCTGCCTAAACGATATTTAGATTGGTTTGTGATCGTCGTAGGTCTCTTAATGAGAAACATTTGAATCTGGAGTTATTCAGGATGTCGTATCACTCCAATGATCATGTAAATGTGGATGTGCTAACTTTTGATCGAATGTTGGGAAGGTTATAAAGTTTTGAAGTTTATTTTCTAACTAACTAACTAACTAACTAACTAACTAACTAACTAACTAACTAACTAACTAACTAACTAACTAACTAACTAACTAACTAACTAACTAACTAACTACAACTAACTAACTAACTAACTAACTAACTAACTAACTAACTAACTAACTAACTAACTAACTAACTAACTACTAACTAACTAACTAACTAACTAACTACTAACTAACTAACTAACTAACTACTAACTACTAACTAACTACCTAACTAACTAACTAACTAACTAACTAACTAACTAACTAACTAACTAACTAACTAACACTAACTAACTAACTAACTAACTAACTAACTAACTAACTAACTAACTAACTACTAACTACTAACTAACTAACTAACTAACTACTAACTAACTAACTAACTAACTAACTACTAACTAACTAACTAACTAACTAACTAACTAACTAACTAACTAACTAACTAACTAACTAACTAACTAACTAACTAACTAACTAACTAACTACTAACTAACTAACTAACTAACTAACTAACTACTACTAACTAACTAACTACTAACTAACTAACTAACTAACTAACTAACTAACTAACCTAACTAACTAACTAACTAACTAACTAACTACTAACTAACTACTAACTAACTAACTACTAACTAACTAACTAACTAACTACTAACTACTAACTAACTAACTAACTAACTAACTAACTAACTAACACTAACTAACTAACTAACTAACTAACTAACTAACTAACTACTACTAACTAACTAACTAACTAACTAACTAACTAACTAACTAACTAACTACTAACTACTAACTAACTAACTAACTACTAACTAACTAACTAACTACTAACTAACTAACTACTAACTAACTAACTAACTACTAACTAACTAACTAACTACTAACTAACTAACTAACTAACTAACTAACTAACTAACTAACTAACTAACTACTACTAACTAACTAACTAACTAACTACTAACTAACTAACTAACTAACTAACTAACAACTAACTAACTACTACTAACTAACTAACTAACAAACTACTATCTATGAAGAAAAATTACTTTAAAATCGTTTCAGTATCTAAAAATACACCCATCTTGTGGTGAGTAGCTGCGACTTATCTGCTTTCTCACTCTGCTAACATAAAATACAACCCTGCTCTTCAAAAATAACATTCACAAGCAGATGTCGCCCCTGCAAACACTTGACAGCTGTCACTAAATGTCTATGAACAATAATTGGTAAACAACTGTCAAATTAATTGTCAAATAAAGCGACATCCGGCCATCTTCCTTTCCTTTTTTTCGTATCTTACAAGATGGTAGGTTCTACCAAAATTTTTGATTGTGTTAAAATTCATTGCCATCCAAAAGAAAACAATAAAAAATGTGTAAAATTAAGTGAAAAACAAATAAAGTGCTAAAATTGCTAACAGAAAATGTAAATATTTCCCAAATGCCAAAGTGAAAAACACAAAGAAATTAAGAAAATTGTAACCAAAATGATTTAAGGCTTAGAAACAGTAAACAAATGGAAAAAATGTTAAATAAATAAAAAGATGGCAGTGTTTTTTCATGATGAATTTATAAATAAATGAAAAAAGTGTTAATTAAAGAAACTAATGTGTTTTACTTTTTGTTTATTCTTTTAAAAAATGTGTATGAAAACAGGCGCGAGGTCCTAAGAAGCACTTGAAACGTTTA